GGCAGCCCTGGGCCGCGAGCCTCGACCTGAACTTGGACCACTTTGTCTGCATGCGCGCGACGACCCACATGCACAAACCTCGATGACCAAAGCGCATGATGCGAAGCGCCAATGCAGTCTTGTGGTCTTGTGTATATATATACACACATATACGACCACCTGGCGGGTGATAAGGAGGTTGGGGGGCAGCAGTGGGCAAACGTGGTGATTCTTGTTCTGACGATGCCTGTGGGGCGGAGTCTAGTGAGTAGTGTGATTGTGCACGTGAGCGTGATGTGATGTGGCGATGTTGGCGAACCGCACTCGACATTGCCGTGAAGCGCTGTCCCCGCGTGCGCTTATCAATTGCGCGAACTTTACCTCAGTCGACGTGGTCGAACGTGCGTGCTCATTTGGTCCGGCCGCGGCCCAGCCACGAGATAATTTCGGGACACCAACGGGACACCAGCGGGACTCCGCGCGCCACCGGCCGCCGGAGGAGAATCATTTGGTCCGGCCGCGCCCCAGCCACAAGAGGATTTCGGGACACCAGCGGGACACCGGCGGGACACCGCGGGCCACCGGCCGCCAGAGGAGAAACATTGGTCCGGCCGCGGCCCAGCCACAGGAGGATTTCCTCTCGCCCGCCCACGCAGCTTCGCCTCGCCCGCACGCACGCACGGCACGCACGACACGAACCCGAAATCGATTTCCTGGCACGGGGGGTCTCCGTTTCACGTCGGACTCACCCCCCAACCTCCGATACGTACATATATAAAGGTCCCAGCACGCACCATGAACCCCCGTTTTCTCTTGAAGGTGCCAAGAGAAAAGGGGGGCGGAAGGCGCGCGCTGCATCCGTAAAGGAAGAAGTGTGGCAGAAAGGTTGGTTGTGTGATGGAGAAGACAGGTGTGGAGTATCGGGTGGAGTGTTGGGGACGGAGGGTGTGGAGGACCGGATGGTGTGTAGGAAACGGAGGGAGTGGAGTACAAGGTTATTTTCAAGTTCAGCTTGGGGAGGGAGCCTGTTGAGTATCGGGTGGTGTGTTGGAGACGGAGGGTGTTGAGTACTGGATGGCGTGTTGGAGACGGAGGGAGTTGAGTAGAAGGTTATTTTTCAAGTTCAGTTTTGGGAGGGAGCCTGTTGAGTATCGGGTGGTGTGTTGGAGACGGAGGGTGTTGAGTACTGGATGGCGTGTTGGAGACGGAGGGAGTTGAGTAGAAGGTTATTTTTCAAGTTCAGTTTTGGGAGGGAGCCTGTTGAGTATCGGGTGGTGTGTTGGAGACGAAAGGTGTTGAGTAGAAGGTTATTTTCAAGTTCAGCTTGGGGAGGGAGCCTGTGGAATATCGGATGGTGTGTTGGAGACGGAGGATGTTGAGTACTGGATGGTGTGTAGGAGACGGAGGGAGTTGAGTAGAAGGGTATTTTCAAGTTCAGCTTGGGGAAGGAGCCTGTTGAGTATCGGGTGGTGTGTTGGAGACGGAGGGTGTTGAGTACTGGATGGTGTGTTGGAGACGGAGGGAGTTGAATAGAATGTTATTTTCAAGTTCAGCTTGGGGAGGGAGCCTGTTGAGTATCGGGTGGTGTGTTGGAGACGGAGGGTGGTGAGTACTGGATGGTGTGTTGGAGACGGAGGGAGTTGAGTAGAAGGTTATTTTCAAGTTCAGCTTGGGGAGGGAGCCTGTTGAGTACTGGATGGTGTGTAGGAGACGGAGGGAGTTGAGTAGAAGGGTATTTTCAAGTTCAGCTTGGGGAGGGAGACTGTTGAGTATCGGGTGGTGTGTTGGAGACGGAGGGTGTTGAGTACTGGATGGTGTATTGGAGACGGAGGGAGTTGAGTAGAAGGTTATTGTCAAGTTCAAAATGAGTTGAGAAAGTCTTCCAAAAATGAGCCTCAAAATGAAGTCCAAAAATCGTAGGAATCATATATGAGTTCCTATATAATCTGGAGAAAGGGGGATTCTTGGTGCGTGCGGAGGGCAATATATAATGTATGGTGCTCGCCGAGGATGCACGCGCACGTCCGAGCGATGCCAAAGTCATGAAATCCTCCATCGACGACGAGGACAATCTTCTTTTGAAAGAGCGGCGTCGGCGTCGGCGTCAGCGTCGTCGTCGTGGTCGTGGTCGTCGTGGTCATCGTCGTCGTCGTCGTCGTCGGCCTTATGCGTCTGGGTGAGAGCGCCAGGGCGTTCTGCCACGCCGCGCGATCCGGGCGGTACTCGGTGGCCCCCAGCTCTGCCGGCAGCACCTGCCGCACGCGCTCGACCTCCTCCTGGTGGTGCAACGGATATTGGGGGCAGCATCGTCGTTGTCGTCGTCGTCGTGGTCGTCGTCGTCGTCATCCGTCGTCGGCCTGGGCGGGCGGCAGGAAACGCCGTGCCTGGTTAGTGCAACGGCCGTGCTATCATCCCATATCTCCACCTTCTTCCTCAAACCATGAATGCTCCTCTTCTTCTCCCGATCCTGCACCTCGTTCAAGCCCACTCTGCTTTGACAATGTTTGATCAGTTCCCGCGGTGCCGCGCCACTCCCTCGGGGAGGATCGTGAGGGAAAAAGCAGACGGGGCAGTGAGCTGCGTTAGCAGCTTGGGGTCAGGCTCAACTAACGATCACTTATCATGCTGTAGGTGCATATTCAATGCGTTGAGCTGGTAACTTGCTGGTAAGAACGGCGGCCCTCCATCACCTATGCAACTCCTCGTTGGGTCCAGAAGCTCAATGTTGCCAAGGAAGGGAGGTGGGGCAAGCAAGATAACAATGATGGAACATGATAAAGACGACTATGTTACTCGGCATTGCGCTTGCGGGTGCGGATGGGGATGATGAGGCCGATGTTTACAGAGCAGCAGGGGTCAGCAGAGCGGCAACGATCAGCAAAACGAGCCTGCAACCTTTGCGGCTGCGAACGAGGATGCGTATAATGACGAACGTGATGATGATGCTGATAACGACGGCGGTGATCCCCATCACGTAGGAGGCGCGCGGTGCACAATCCCTGCACGTCCAAAAGCAGGGATGGGAGCAAATCTCACCACCCTAACAAAGGCGGGGCCGTGCCGTGGTAGCCAAGGCTCCACGGCACGCCAAGGGCCCCACGAGCCCCCTCTCGGGCCCCTGAGCACGGCCGTGGGGGCCGTGCCGAGAGGGGACGATCCTGCCCTCTCGAAAAGTGCACGCTCGAACAGGTCGAACGGATCGACGGGCGCCACTCGTCGCACCTCCACACAGCCGAGGCGCGCACCCTCGAGGAGACCCCGCCCTCGCCTCCCCCAAAAGCCCGTCTCGCAGAGGGCGGACGTCGGCTATGCCCCCGCCGATGGCGACGCCACGCACCCCCCGTGCCCTCCGGGAAGCCACGGCGGAAGCCGGCCACGTCGCCGACGGCCACGGCCTGCCGACGAGCCGCCGCGCCCTTCACCGCCGCCCGATGCAGGCCGTCGTCCCGAGAATCGTCCGAGGGGTCGCCGGCGGGAAGCGCGGCCACCACGGCGGCCGCACCCGCAGCGGCTCCAGCCTCGGGCCCCCCCCGTCCGCATCGGCTGCCTCCTGGCACCACCAGGACTCGAGTAGGAGATCGACAGCAACATCGATGCACCCCAAAACACCAGTAGCACTCGAGTAGGAGATCGACAACAGAATCGATGTACCCCAAAATTGTTATTTCGTCAAATCCACAAACATGGAATGCTTTTTAGTCAAATTCTGGCAGACCCACGACCAGTCTGCACATTGCTTATGGATTCGACGAGAAAATTGGTCGGGGCAAATCAAATCCGTATGTCGTCGATCTCCTACTCTGACCATGGGGGAAACGGGTCCTGAAGGGAACGGGGCCTGGACCCTGGTGCCTTCCCCGAAATCGAATTTCTCATTCTGTTTTCTTACAATCCCGAAGCCCGTGGAGGGCCCCGAGCGCCTGGAACCGGCGACAAACCTCCGGACCCCTTTCCCTCAGGACCCGTTTCCTCCATGGCGATACTCGAAGGACGGCCTCCATCGCCAGTCCAAGCGGGCGCCTCCTCCGCCCCACGACGCACGGCCAGGCCGCGCACGGTGCCGACGCTGCCGTGGGGGGCAGGCCCTGGCAGCTCGGCCTCCGCGGGCGGAGGGAGGAGGGGCTCCGTCAAGAGGGAAAGCGAAGGGTACTGCTACCGCAGCTCCCCAGACCTCTCCCGGGGTGTGCTCGGACCAGCATCTCGAGGCGAATCCAGCGGTGGCGACGAGGGCCGCCTGGGAGGCCGAACAGGGCGAACACTAGGGAAGGGCAGCGATATCAGTACCTCCCCCTCCTCTGAATCATGCCCAATGCTGCCCTCGCCGCCCTCGCCGCCGCCGCCGCCGGGCGCCCGGCGCGGGGCAGGCCCACCACGGCGGCCTGGGGGGCAGGCCCAGGCGGCTTAGCCTCCGCGGGCGGGGGGGGCTCCGTCGGGCCCAAGGCAGCCGCGCCAGGCGCGCCGCGGGCCAGCGGCAGCAGCTTCGCGGCCCCCCCCGCCCTCGCCGCCGCGGCCGCCGCGGGGCGCGGGGCTGCGGCGTGGCGGGGCCGCTCGCAGGCTCGCGGGCGCCGCGCGGCGACAGGCCATCGGCGTCGCGCGCAAGCAGGCGCTTGTTCGTCAAGTCTTCATTGTGTTATTAGGGTCGGGGGGAACCTTTGCTCTCGATGATGAACCGTGGACCGCGCCCGCTGGCGCCGTCGCCGTCGTCGGCGTCGGCGTCGGCGGCGGCGGCGTCGCCGTCGTCGTCGGCGTCGTCGTCTTCGTCGCCGTCGTCGGCGTCGTCGTCTTCGGCGTCGGCGTCGGCGTGGTCGTCGTCGTCGTCGGCGGCATCGGCGTCGGCGTCGGCGTCGGCGTCGTCGTCGTAAGCGTCGGCATCAGCGTCGGCGTCGGCGTCTTCGTCGGCGTCGGCGGCGTCGTTGTCGCCGGAGACGGCAGTGGGGGCGGCGTCGGTGTCGGCTTCGCCGGCATCGGCGGCGGCGGCGGCGGCGTCGACGTCGTCGTCGTCGTCGTCGTCAACGTCGTCGGCGTCGTCGTCTTCGTCGTCGGCGTCGTCGGTGTCGTCGTCTTCCTCGTCGTCGTCGTCGTCGTCGTCGTCGTCGTCGTCGTCGTCATGGTCGTCGTCGTGGTCGTCGTCGTCGGCATCGGCGTCAACGTCGTCGGCGTCGTCGTCTTCGTCGTCGGCGTCGTCGGTGTCGTCGTCGTCCTCGTCGTCGTCGTCGTCGTCGTCGTCGTCGTCGTCGTCGTCGTCATGGTCGTCGTCGTGGTCGTCGTCGTCGGCATCGGCGTCTGCGTTGTCGGCGGCGTCGGCGCTGTCGTCGGCGTCGCCGTCGCCTCGTCGTCGTCGTCGTCGCCGTCGTGGTCGGCGGCGTCCTCGTGGTCGTGGTCGTGGTCGTGGTCGTGGTCGTGGTGGTCGTCGGCGTCGGCGGCGGCGTCGTCGTCGTCTTCGTCGTCATGGTCATCGTCGGCGTCGGCGTCGTCGTCGTAGGCGTCGGCGTCGGCGTCGGCACCGTCGTCGTCGTCGTCGGCGTCGGCGTCGTGATCGTGGTCGTCGTTGGCGGCGGCGGCGTCGGCGTCTGCGTCGGCGTCGGCGTCATCGGCATCGGCGTCGGCGTCGTCGTCGTCGTCGTCGTCGTCGTCTCGTCGTCGTCGTCGTCGTATGGGTCGTCGTCGTCGTCGTCGTCGTCGTCGCGTCGTCGTCGTCGTCGTCGTCGTCGTCGTCGTCGTCGTCGTCGTCGTCGTCGTCGTCGTCGTCGTCGTCGTCGTCGTCGTCGTCGTCGTCGTCGTCGTCGTCGTCGTCGTCGTCGTCGTCGTCGTCGTCGTCGTCGTCATCATCGTCGGCGTCAGCGTCGTCGGCGGCGTCGGCGTTGACGTCGTCGTCGTCGTCGTCGCCTTGTCGTCGTCGTCGTCGTCGTCGTCGTAGTCGTCGTGGTCGTTGTGGTCGTCGTGGACGTCCTGGTCGTCGTCGTCGTCGTCGTCGTGGTCGTCGTCGTCGTCGGCGTCGGCGTCGGCGTCGGCCTTGGCGTCGGCGTCGGCGTGGTCGTCGTCGTCGGCGGCGTCAGCGGCATCGTCGTCGTCGGCGTCGTCGTCATCGTCGTCATCGTCGCCGTCGGCGTCAGCGTCGGCGACGGCGTTGGCGTCGTTGTCGGCGCCGGCGTCGTCGGCATCGGCGTCGTGGTCGTCGTGGTCGGCGTCGGCGTCGTGGTCTTCGTGGTCGTCGTGGTCGTCGTGGTCGTCGTGGTCGTCGTGGTCGTCGTGGTCGTGGTCGTCGTCGTCTTCGTCGTCAGCGTCGTCGTGGTCGTCGGCGTCGACGTTCTCGTCGTCGTCGTCGTCTTTGTTGTGGTGGTTGTCGTCGGTCTCGTCGTCGTCGTCGTCGTCGGCATGGTCGTCGTTTTGCCAGCGTCGTCGTCGTTGTAGTCTTCGCCGTCGTCGTGGTCGTCGAGGTTGTCGTGGTCGTCGTTGTCGTCGTCGCCGTCGTCGGCGTCGGCGTCGGCGTCGGCGTCGGCGACGTCGTCGACGGCGGCGGCGGCGTCGGCGTCGTCGTCGTCGTCGCCGTATTCGTCGGCGGCGGCGGCGGCGTCAGCTGGGGCGTGGGCGTCGGCGTCGGTGTCGGTGTCGGCGTCGTCGGTGTCGGCGGCAGCGCCATCCGGTCCGCGTCGTCGTCGTCGGCGGCGGGCTGGCGGGGCGGCGGGGCGAAGTCGTGGTTGTCGTGGTCGTGGTCGTCGTCGTCGTCGTCGGCGTTGTTGTCGGCGTCGGCGTCGGCGTTGGCATCGTCGGCGTCGGCATCGTCGGCGTCGGCATCGTCGGCGACGGCGTCGGCGACGGCGTCGGCATCGGCGTCGTCGTCGACGGGGCCCGTGGCGGCGGCATCGGCGTCGGCGTCGGCGTCGGCGTCGTCGGTGGCGTCGGCGTCGTCGTCGTCGTCGTCGTGGTCGTCGTCGTCGTCGTCGTCGCCGTCGGCGTCGGCATCGTCGTGTTCGCCGTGGCCGTTGTCGTCGTGATCGGCGGCAACGGCGTCGGCGTCGGCGTCGCGTTGTGGCCGTCGTGGTCGTCGCTTTCGTCCTGGTCGTCGTCTTCGTCGTCGTCGTCGGCGGCGGTGATGGCGTCGGCGTCGGCGTCCACGTCGGCGTCGGCGTCAGCGTCGGCGTCGTCGTCGTCGGTGTCGGCGTCGGCGTCGGCGTCGGCGTCGGCGTACGCGTCGGCGCCGTCGCCGTCGCCGTCGTCGTGGTCGTCGTCGTCGTCGTCGTCGTCGTCGTCGTGGTCGTCGTCGGGGTCGGCGTCGGCGGCATCAGCACCGTCGTCGGCGCTGGCGTGGGCGTGGTCGTCGTGGTCGTCGTGGTCGTCGGCATCGGCGTCGTCGCCGTCGCCGTCGTCGTCGTCGGCGTCGTCGTCATCTTCGTGGTCGTCGGGGTCGTAGCCGTTGTCGTTGTCCTCGTCGCTGTCGTCGTCGTCGGCGTCGTCACTGGCGTCGTTGTCGGCGTCGGCAGCGTCGGCGTCGGCGTCGTCGTCGTCGTCGTCGTCGTCATCGGCGGCGTCAGCGTCGGCGTCGTTGTAGGCGTTGGTGTCGGCGTCGGCGTCGTCGCCGTGGACGTCGTGGTCGTTGTGGACGTCGTGGCCGTCGTGAACGGCGTCGGCGTCGTGGTCGTGGTCGGCGGCGACGGCGGCGGCGTCGTCGTCGTCGTCGCGGTTGTCGTCGTCCTCGTCGTCGTCGTGGTCGTCGGCGGCGTCGGCGTCGGCGTCGTCGTCGTCGTCGTCGGCGTCGGTGTCGGCGTCATCCTTGTCGTCGTCGTCGTGGTCGTCCAGGTCGTCGTCGTCGTGGTCGTCGTGGTCGTCGTCGTCGGCGTCGGCGTCGGCGGCGTCGGCATCGTTTTCGGCGACGTCGTGGTGGTCTTCGTCGTTCACGTCATCGTCGTCGGAGTCGGCGTCCTCGTCATTGTCGTCGAGGTCATCGTCGGCGCGTCTTCGTCGTCGTCGGCAGCATCGGCGTCGTCGTCGTGGTTGTCGTGGTCGTCGTCCGCGTGGTCGGCGGCGGCGGTATCCGCATCGGCGTCAGCGTCGGCGTCATTGTCTTCGTGGTCGTCGTGGTCGTCGTAGTTCGTCGACGTCGTGGTCATCGTGGTCGTCGTCGTGCCCGTCGTCGTCGTCGTCGTCGTAGTGTTCGTGGTCGGCGGCGGCGGCGTCGGCGTCGTCGTCGTGGTCGTCGTCGTTGTCGTGGCCGTCGTCGTGGTCGTCGTGGTCGTCGTGGTCGTCGTCGTCATCGGGGTCGGCGGCGTCGGCGTCGTCGTCGTAGTCGGCGGCGTCGGCGTCGTCATCGTCGTCGTGGTCGTCGTGGTCGTCATGGTCGTCGTCGTCGTCGTCGTGGTCGGCGGCGGCGGCGTTGGCGTCGGCGTCGTCGGCGTCGTCGTCCTCGTGGTCGTCGTGACCGACGTGGTCGTCGTGGTCGTCGGCGTCGTCGTGGTGGTCGTCGTGCTCGTCGTGGTCGTCGTCGTCGTCGTCGTCGGCGGCGTTCTCGTCGTCGTCGTGGCTGCCGTCGACGTCGTGGTCGGCGGCGTCGACGTCGTCGTCAACGTCGGCGGAGTCGATGTCGACGTCGTCGTCGTGGTCATCGTGGTCGTCGTGGTCGTCGTTGTCGACGTCGTCGTCGTCGTGGTCGGCGGTGCTGTCGTTGTCGTCGGCGTTGGCGGCGTCGTCGTCGTGGTCGTCGTGGTCGGCGGCGTCGTCGTGGTCGTCGTCGTGGTCGTCGCGGTGGTCGTCGTGGTCGTTGTGGTCGTGGTAAGCGGCGGTGGCATCGGCGCCGGCGACGGCGGCGTCGGTCGGCGTCGTCACCGTCGTCGTCGTGGTAGTCGCTGTCGACGTCGTCGTCGTCGGCGGCGGCGGCGTCGGCGTGAGCGTGGGCGTGGGCGTCGTGGTCGTCGTCGTCGTGGTCGTCGCTGTCGTCGTCGTCGTCGTCGTTGTCGTCGCCGTCGTCGTCATGGTCGTCGGCGGCGTGGGCCTCGGCGTCGGCATCGGCGTCGTCGTCGTCGTCGTCGGCGTCGAGGTCGTCGTCGGCGTGGACGTCGGCATCGTCGTCGTTGTCGTCGCCGTTGTCGTCGTCGCCGTCGTCCTCGCAGTCGTCGTCGTCGTCGTCGTCGTCGTCGTCGTCGTCGTCGTCTTCGTGGTCGTTTTGGTCGTCGTCCTCGTCGTCGTCGTGGTCGTCGTGGTCGTCGTCGTCGTAGTCGTCGTGGTCGCCGGCGTCGTACTCGTCGTGGTCGTCGTGGTCGTCGGCATCAGCGTCAGCGTCGGCGTCGGCGTCCGTCGTCGTCTTCGCCGTCAGCGTCGTCGTCGTCGTGGTCGTCGTGGTCGTCGTGGCCGTCGCCGTCGTCGTCGTCGTCGTGGTCGTCGTGGTCGTTGTCGCGGTCGTCGGTACCGTCGTCGTCGCCGTGGTCGTCGTGGTCGTCGTGGTCGTGGTCGTCATCGTTGTCGTCGTGGCTGTCGGCGTAGTTGTCGTTGTCGTCATGGTTGTCGGCATCGGCGTCGGCGTCGGCGTCGGCGTCCATCGTTGTTGTCGGCGTCGTCGTCGTCGTGGTCGTCGTGGTCATCATCGTCGTGGTCGTCAGGGTCGTCGTCGTGGTCGTCGTTGTCGTCGTCGTCGACGTGGTCGTCGTGGTGGTCGTGGTCGTCGTCGTCATCGTAGTCGTCGTCGTGGTCGTGGTCGTCGTCGTTGTCGTCGTGGCTGTCCGTGTCGTCGTGGTCGTCGTGATCGTTGTCGCTGTAGTCGTTATCGTCGTTATCGTCGTCGTCGTCGTCGTCGTCGTCGTCGTGGTCGTCGTAGTGGTCGTCGTCGTCGTCGTCGTAGTCGTCGTGGTTGTCGTTGTCGTCGTGGTTGTCGGCGTCGGCGTCGGCGACGGCGTCGTCGTCGAAATCCGTCGTCGTCGTCGTGGTCGTCGTGGTCGTCGGCGTCGTCTTTGTCGTCGTGGTCGTCGTGGTCGTCGGCGTCGTCGTGGTCGTCGTTGTCGTCGTGGTTGTCGGCGTCGTCGTGGTCGTCGTGGTCGTCGTGGTCGTCGTGGTCGTAGTCGTCGTGGTCGTCGTGGTTGTCGTTGTCGTCGTGGTCGTCGGCGTCGGCGTCGGCGTCGGCGTCGTCGTCGGCGTGGGCGTCGTCGTCCGTCGTCGTCGTGGTCGTCGTGGTCGTCGTGGACGTCGTCGTCGTGGTCGTGGCGGTCGTTGTCGTCGTCGTGGTCGTCGTGGTCATCGTGGTGGTCGTGGTCGTCGTCGTCGTCTTCGTCATCGTGGTGGTCGTGGTCGTCGGCGTCGGCGTCGGCGTCATGGTCGTCTTGGTCGTCGTGGTTGTCGTTGTCGTCGTGGTCGGTCGTCGACGTCGGCGTCGTGGTCGTCGTGGTCGTCGTCGTGGTCGTCGTTGTCGTCGTCGTCGTCGTCGTCGTCGCCGTCGTGGTCGTGGTGGTCGTGGTCGTGGTCGTCGTCGTCGTCGTAGTCGTCGTGGTCGTCGTGGTTGTCGTTGTCGTCGTTGTCGTCGTTGTCGTCGTAGTCGTCGTGGTCGTCGGAGTCGGCGTCGGCGTCGGCGTCGGCGTCGTCGTCGTCCGTCGTCTCGTCGTCTGCCTCGTCGTCGTCGTGGTCGTCGGCTCCTGGCGCTCCGCCTCGGCGCCGTGGTGCTCGGCGCCCCCGTTGGCCTCGTCGCCGCGCCGCCTGTTCCAGGGGGGGGGATGGACGTGGACAGCGCCTGCCTGGCAAGCACCCCAGCCCCTCATCGGAGGGGACCCGCGCTGGTCCTGAGGGAAACGGGTCCTTCAACTTTTCGCCGGTTTCGGGCTCCCGGGGCCCTCCACGGGCCCCAGGACTGTCCGGAAACGGCTCAGCGCCCCGGGACTCTCAGGAAACGGCTCAGAACGAAGAACTGGGGGGAGGCTCCCAGGCACAGGACCCGTTTCCCACAGGACCCGTCCCCCTCATGCCAAAACGCCAGGGTGACGAAATCTGTAGATATCGACTGCTCCCTGGCCAGGCCCATCCTTAACCCAGCAGCGGTGCATACGCCACGCCTTCCTGGCTTGGCCAGGAGGGCGTATACTCAGCTCCTCCTAGGCCCAGGACGGGCCCGGCCAGGGAGCAGCGGATGTGTGTAGATTTCGTCACCCGAAAACGCGCGGCCGCCCGGAGCTCTGCGCCCCCCTGGTTCGGCGGCGAGCCCAGGGAAGTGAGCCGCGCGCGCTCCGCGGGGGCGCCCGCCCGTGCCCAGCGGGGCGCGGCGTGGAGCCCGCAGTTTCGACGAGGAAGGGCGCGAATTCGAGACGCAGCCTCGACGAGAAAGCCTCGACAAGGACGCCTCGGCAGAAGGGGGGCGCACCCTCCATCCTGCTCGGCTGGCCCAGACTACAGGGACACAGAGGGACTACCAGACCACCCTAACCCAACCCGAAGACCCCACTTTCGGCTTGGGAGGGGTTACGGGTTCCATATGTGTTTTTGAATGCTCCCCGACGCCTCCCCCCACTGGAAAAGGAGGGTAAATTGAGGCCTTCGTGCTGGGTTGGCTTAGTGGGTGGTGACAGAGGGGGTCCAGGGCTCCAGTGGGCTCCATGGGCTGGCCCCTCGTCCCTTGGGCTACCTGTGCACCTCAACCAGGCAGCTTTCGGTGGCGAGCCTAAGGCCTTCTGAGGAATGTTCAAATCCTTCTCCGAGGACATAGGGAACTTCTTAGGAGGCGCGAGGGCTTCTGAGATGCCCCGCCGCCTTCTGAGAAAGCTTGCTCCTTCTCACTTCCCCCCTCACGGGCGAGCCGCCCAAAAAAAGGACCATGCCCAAGACTGTCTTGGTTACCGTCCATCTTCAATTCGTGAGTCATCCTCGCGAATCAGCGACGGTCGGCATGGACCATGACCAAGATCGGCATCGACAAGATCCCGCGACAGATTGGTTGTGATCACTGTGTTTCTGCCCCCGATCCATCCCGCTCCCCATCATCCACCCCACCCCCCCAATCCATCCAGCCCTCTGAGCGCAGATAGTCTAACGATATGATTATTTCCTCTTCCAAAGCCCCTCTTCCCGTCAGAGAGGGTACCATCCCCGAACTCCCCGAGGTTTTCAGGGTGCCCCCGCGACATGTCAGGGGGTCCTTCTTGGCCCAAGATTTCTCCAAGAAAGCCTCCCCTGCTCCAAGATGGCCTCCAAAATGTCTCTGGGAGGCCTGTGGGAAACCTGGCCTGGAGTTCCCTGCAACCTCTTGGGGCTCTGGTGGCTCCGGGCTGGCGAAACCTTGTAAAAACATAGAGAAAATAAAGCCCCGGACCCCCCATGCGCCGCCGAGGTCCCTGGGCGGGACCCCCCCGGCCACTTCCCCCGGTGGCCGAAACCCGCATGCCCCGCCGAGGTCCCTGGGCGGGACCCCCCCGGCCACGTCCACCGGGGCTCTGGTGGCTCCCAGTGGCCGAAACCCTTTGAAAAAACAAAAGGAAAATAAGGCCCCAGGCCCCCCAGGCCCCGCCGAGGTCCCTGGGCGGGACCCCCCCGGCCACGTCCCCCGGGTCTCTGGT